GGAAGGCAGCTGGGCAGCAGGAAGAACAGTGCCCTGCAGGTAAGTCTGTGGAGGGGAAGGGGTGTGGGGGAGGGAACAGGAATGGGGGCTACAGATTGAGGCCCCCACAGTGAGGGAGGGAGTGGGGCAGGGGCTGGGGGCACTACCTGGCCAGGACAGTGAATGGGATCCAGAACCTGGGCAGGGAGTGGGGCAGAGCTACGGGTACCTTGTCCAGGGGATCAGCATCCCGGAACTTAAAAATGGTGGTGGGGGCACTTGGACTAAAGCTCAGCCAGTGAGTTTTAGTTCAAGCGCTTCCACAATTTTTAAGCATGGGGATGCTTTTAACCAGAGCAGGGCAAGGGCAGATGTGAGTTGCCTGCTGCGTGCCTGGGGCTCTCCAACCTGCTGCCTTTGCCCTGGGCACTCTGCTCTGGCCACGTGTCCCCTGCCTGCCTGGCAGCAGGAGGCACAACTTGTGGCCTCGACTGCTTTACAGTTCGGTAGCTAGGTAACTGGTTCTGAGGTAGGACCTAGAGAGTATTGATTGACAGAACTGAGTTGTCCCGGCCTCCTCCCTGTGTCCCCTGGATGAGCTGACTGCAGCTCTGTCCCATTCCCTGAGCTGGCCCTGGCTGGGGATCACCCTCGCCCCGTGTCGTACTTCCTCCATCATTGTGGGTGTCCCATTCTGCCCCTTCACTCCCCCACACCCCTTCCTCTCTGCTGACTTGCATGCAGGGCTCTTCTCTTCATGCTACCCAGCTGTACTCTGGGCCATGTGCATACATGCAGCTGTGTGCATGCTTGTAGCTGCACATGCACGTGGGGTCTGGGGGCCCCCATTAGAAGGCATGTTATATTTATTCGTTAACATTATCAGCTACATCAGGCAAAAAAAGCTGATAATGTTAATTTTCTTGTAGATGCTCATAATCCAATGACAAACTGGTTTACAGTATGCTAGAAATAGATTAGATGCCCCCAAATGAAGGGGATCAGCTGTGTCCCAGGATGTGTGCCAGCAGAGCTTATCTGCTTCCTTGGGCAAAACTCACATCATGTGTTCTCCTGCAGCATTAATGGGCAGCACAACAGGTGACGTTCTCCCAAGGCTTAAGGGGCCTGGTGCTGTGATTTTTTTTGTGGGAGGGTTTTTTTGTTGTTGTTTTTTCCGTGCTTTTCCCTCACTTAGCAAGATGCGTCCTGAGGGTCCTGGGGATGTGTCTTGGTAAGCAGTGGAAGCTGGGCAGGCACGCCCAGGGCTCGGGGGGCCAGATCCTGCTTGGGAATTCCTGAGAGGTACAGGATGGGGCTCCTCCATCCGTGGGGCGACTGGAGAGTGCGGGCAGCTCTGGGTTGCTGGTGCTTTTGTGCCATAAAATAAACATCTGCTGCTAAATTGTGGCACAAGTTGACACCACCTTTGTCATGGCCACAAATTTTGGGCGTTTGTGGCGTGACAAGGGATGTCCGTTTCCTTGGTCTTTTGTGATGGAAGTTGACGGCTGTTTCTTCCCTAACACAGTTCATTTCGTTCAGATCAGTGAAAATGGGGGAGGGAAATCCAGGTGCCAATGACTTTGGTTTTAGTTTGAGTATTCTTGTCTGACTGCTGCTTTGAATTAATTTGTGTTAAAAGTAAAGTATTATGCCATTTTGATCCAATGTGAAATAAAGGGACAGATCCTGTTACCCATACATAGCTTAAATAAAAGCTTAATGTTGTCTTAGTGCAATGGAAGTACTTGTGGTATTAGATGTGAATAATGGCATTATATCTGGCCCAAATGAAAACAAGTACATAATTTTGCCTCTTCTCATAAAGTTTTCCCCACATAAGTCCATTAACAAAGTAGCTTCCAAAAGCTAAAAACAGTTTTCATTTGTAGTTAAACAGTGAATCAGTGATGCAAATGTAATAAATTTTGCTTTTTGTTTTTTAGGAGCTAACTGAACAGTTTCATCAACTAGAAGTTCATTTAAATAAACTCAATCAGCTTATTATGGATCTTCTTGCTGATGTGAAAGCCAAGAGAAAGATTTTAGAGACCAGTTCACTGCTACAGTTGGAAAGAAAACTATATGTATATTTCTTTAAAGATGAAGATCATTTGAAAGAAGTTGTGGAGAATGTAGAGCACCAGTCTAAGGCCCAAACTATTGGTCTCTAGAGGATTAAATGTGAGATGCCTGAAAATGAAATCATAAACTGATCTTCTGTTTTGACATGGAAATGATTTCGCATGGCTGTCTGTCTATGAATCTACAGCATAAAAAACAAACTTTAGATAAATGGTTGGTCTATCACTTACTGAGAACAAACAGCTGTTTTCACAGCTTTTTGGAATACAGTTTTGGCATACAGATCCAAACCTTCAAACTGAAATATTAGAAGGAACAGGTTGAGTATCTACATGAATTACTTCACAGATTGATTTTTGCTACATTGTTGCCTTTCACTAAGTTATTGAGCAGAGCAAAATGAGGACTTGTGAATCCATTTCCCCTCCTCCCCTTGCTTTCAGTCACGGGGAAAGATTCTTCTTTTGCAATCTGCAGAGCTAGTACAGAAGAAGTGTTTTAAAGGTTGGAACTTTTAAAGGTTGGAATTTAAGGACTGAATATAGTATAATACTTCTGAAACGTAATTTTCCTAGGAGTAAAATTTTTATAATAACTTCTCTTGTAAACCTAAGAGACAGATGTAACTAAATGTTTGAGCATAGATCAGGGTGTATGCATCTCTCTCTCTCTCTCTCTCTCTTTTCCCACTGTCCAGAATTCCCTGAGTTGTCTGCCTGCTCTTCTTCATTTGTGGTGGTGCAGACCCTTCAAGCACAAGAACTTTGAAATCTTCTTGACCAGGGTCTTTTAGGGATGTTTGGGTTCTGGCGGTTTATTCTGCAGCAAACTATTTCCTTTTTGGCTTAGTCTGGATTCTGTTATGATGTCTTTAATTCTTTAATAACACTGGCAGACATATTTTGAAATTCTTGTGGGTGATATCTTTATTGGACCAGCTGCATGTTTCGGATACATAAGCAAGGTTTTGGGTAGTTAGGGTACTGTGGTTGACAGGCAAGGTTTTGGGTATCCCAACCATGCAGTTGGTCCAATAAAACATATTGCCCACAAAAATTCTTGCTGCTTGCATATTTTCTGGACTATCATGGCAACATCACTTCAGTGCTACCATAGAGAGCCAAGACTTTTTCTGGTGACATATCTTTTACTCAACTAATTGTGTAATTGGGAGAGATGTTAAACAAACTTTCAGAGACAAAGTGCCCTTCCTTTCATACTGTACAGTTGATCCAATAAAATGTGTTATAAAAAAGCCTTGATTGTATGTTTCTTGGACCGTCACAGCTACAACTACTCTCAAACCCTACTTTCTGCCTAAGATATTAAAAATAAGTAAATGAAATGGGATGGGGCACTTGGAAACAGCTGCATTTTTTTTTTTTTTTTACTTGAAGGGGGGGATGACTTTTTGTGTATATATTCCATCCTATTGTGTTGATTTGTAAGGTTCTTCAAGCACTGTCATGGCATACAGACTTGTTGGCTGCAAAAAGCTAACATCAGGACTTGACTGTATCTGATGGACTAACTGCTGCTTAGCTAACATATTGGAGTCATTAATGGAAAGTTTCTAGCATGTTGGCAATTATTTGCCTATGCTTGTCTCCAGCTTAGGTTATCTAACTGACAGTCAAGTATTCAAAAAGCCAAGAGATTTGGTTTCTGAGTTTTCAAATGGTGGATAGTAATAAATGTTTGCAGATCCGTTTTCAAACCCATCTGTCTACAGTCATGAAGTAGGATAAGTATTTCCCTGCAAAGAAGGGAAAATATTGTCTAGTTGGTGATAGAACCTTCCTTTGGAAATATCAGACAAATGCAGTGTGAAAGGAGCCAGTGGTGGCAAATGAGTATGTAGAGGAACATATTGAAATGCAGCTGTTAAATTCCAGTTGATAGCTTGAATCTTTGAAATACCATAGGCTCTGATGATCTAAATATTTTTAGAGTTAATTTTTAGTCTTGTGCACCGCTCAGAATAAAATGTATAATGTTTTGACTCTTAATCTATAGGTTTCAGCAATAAAACTTTTTTTACTGACTCAACGAAGGACTCTTCAGATTTGGTACCTACATTCTGTTCAGGTGTTATAATGTGACTTTTGGTCAACTGAAAGATATATGAATACAAAGTTAGGAATTGGGTAAGATTCAGGCACTCTATGAATCTTAGAATACCTGAGATTAGTACAGTACTAAATTCTAAAACTGTTGAAAACTTTCCACTTGACAACCTAGCACACTGTTTTGGGATTCTTCCCCCCCCAACACTTCTGTCCCACTGGCCCTCCAGCTTATTTGGTTATATTGCTAATATTTAGAGTACAGAAAATGCAGTCTTCTCTGTTTAATGTCTGCTATTGGGGGGAAATGCTAAAATGTGAGGTGTTTTGTAACTTCATAATTGTGCCATACATGCAGTATGTGGCAGGGGCCTTAATAAAGGTACTATGTAGTTGAATACCTTCTAAAGCAATGGTTCTCAAACTTTTTTTTTGCAGATCACTTGAAAATTGCTGAGGATCTCAGCTGACCACTTAAACTTTTTTTTGTTCTACAAATCAAAGCACACAACTCATATTTTAATATCAGTAGTCTTACCTTTCTAATGCAATGGATGTGCCTGTCTTTTTGAGCAAAGTTCTGGGAAGTCGGGTGTAATGTTTGTCAACTTTAGCCTTAGGTCACCTTCCTGTGGACTACCTGAATGGAGCTCACGGAGCACAGTTTTTGAGAACCTCTGTTCTAAAAGATATCACTACTTTGAAAATCTGCTGGCAGTCTGTATGAAACTTGTGTAGTGTTCCCCACACCCACAAACAGGCTTCACTGCTTATTTTCTTAAATCAAGACTGTCCTGTTTATTTGGCCCCTATGATGGACCTAGCTCTGGGCTTCTCATGAGCTTGACAACACATCTAGCTGCATCTTGGTGTGACTACTGGAGCTGCTATGTTGGATGCTGCTGCTCCTCCCCACACCTTCCCACTTCGGCTGTTGATTTGAGTTGGCAGTGGTGACTGAAGACCCTGAATCTGTGTGGGGGAACAGGGAAATGAATGAGCACTGGCACTGCTCACTCCCTAGTTTCCAGGGCCACCATTTAATCTCTGGTGGGCTGCCACTTGGACAGCTCTGTCTTAATCAGCCTTTGCTGATACTAGTAAGTGACCCTTCGATAAATTGTGTGTGCATAGTAGGAGAAAATCACTTTGGTGGCTGGCATTAAAGTCTAGGTCAGTTTGGTGTGCTAGGCAGGTATCTTTATTACTGATTTGTGCAGTTGATATTGATTTCCATAGTCCTGAAGTTTGTTGTATAATGCTCCTGTATCTTATATTTAGGATTAATCAGAAATATGGAGCATTACAAGGAGTACGTAGGATGTGATCTTTGTAAGACGCCTCTATCAAATATAGCTCAGAGGATTATGTCAGCTATGCAATCACTTCCTTTGGAAGAAACTCATAATAACAGAAAAAGTGAACCAAGTAAGTATTTAAAAAAAAATGCCTGCTCAACTTTAACTGCGTTTCATATGATAGATAAATGTTTTTGAGACTAGATCCTGAAAATGAAAAGACAAAGGAAAATTCTAAAAAATGTACTTAGTGAGGAGAAGAGGGAATAAAGAGAGAGAATAGTTTTTATGTAAGAGTGCCTCCAATAGTTTGGAAATGCTTTTTTCAGTCATATTAAAACCATGTTTTTCATTAGTAAAATAGGACTACAGGTGCTCTCAAGTATAGTGTGCATATGCACATGTGCTTTTTGAAACAAGACTGTGTAATTCCGCGGTTGGTCAAATATTAACTCCTTTTAAAAGGAAAAAATGTTCCAAGACTCATTCTGGATCCTTTATACTGACCAGGCACGGGAGTTTCAGTTGCATCTTTATTTTATTTTATTTAGCTCTTGCATCTATAGCGATTGTTTATATGAGCCTATTCATATACATATACTTTGTCCTATGAAGTACGAATGATGATGACTTTGCAGAGAACACTAGTTCAATATTTTTTTTATCTGTGTACAAAAAGGAAAAAATTAAACTAGAAATGTGTTTGTCATGCACTGAGGTTTGCTTTCAATTACATTTTCACTGGCAGACTTAACAGAATCCAAAATAATCAAGGAATACTAAAGTAGTGAAAGTAAATTTGTTTTGGGGTTGTATGTGTTGTCAAATAGCACAAATGTATAGCTTCCTTTCTTTGTAAGCCTGTAGGAATAGGTTAACACGCCAGCAACGAATGGTTTACTTGGTTTTTCATAGAGAAAAGTCCTACAGGTCAATTTACCTTTATTTTTATGTTTTAAGCATTATTGGGTGTCCTGTTGGGCCTAGTCAGTGTCCATGACCATAGCTTTCAAAACAATATCAACTCAATTAAAAAAAAAAAAAAAAAAAAAAAAAAGGTTGGCCAGGCCTCCTGACCCATGAAATTATCGTCTTTATTAAATCCATTCCAGCAAGAATAGAAACTGAACAGGTATTAACATGCATCTAATTCCTTTTGTGAGTGTCCCGGATTCCTCTTTTAGACTGATTGGAAGAAAAGAGAGAAGATACCTACCACATAGTGCTTATGTTATTTTAACTAAGAGGAAATTATTTATAAACAACTATGTGGGCCAACCCAGACTTCCAAATCTGGAGCAAATATACAGTTAGGAAAAACAGTGATCATTAGTTATGTTAGTCTGATTATTCTGAGTCATTCTAATACTTGATGATTTTCAGCCAAGATCTTTTGTGTGTGAGATGCTATTCATGTCAGGCATGGTATGCTGTAGTGCTGGGCTTAAGATCTTTGTCTAAAAATCTTTCAAAAAACAGAAAATAGCTAGAAATCCAAGATCATTGCTGAGTGAGAGCAGGGTTGGGGGGATGCATTTGTTTTGTTTGCTCTGAGCTTAATCCAGGCTGGCTGGAGGAGTAGACGTTGACGACTAAGGACACTAGACTTGGTCATCTCGGGGGGAAAGTTCAGCTTGATCGATGCCCCTCCTAGACATCAATTTTGCAATAACTATCTAGATGGAAGACAGGACTCTGATTTAAAAAAAAAAATGTTTAGTCTTGCTGACAGATGGGTAAGAGGTCTAATGCCAAGTCCGTGAAATCACACAAGTGTGCAACAGGAACTGTTACCTTTTGCTTCCTCTCATCTCCTGAACTGCCTTCTCTACAAATGGAACAGGTGAGAATGTATAAAGTTAGATGCTCTTCCATCTGAAGTAGCATCTGTCCCCAGTGGCACCTGTTTTCCTTGGAGTAGTAGCTCAGCTGTTTTATGCTGTAGTCTAGTGACTAACCAAAACAACTTGTATAATGTTCTTAATGTATTAATTTCTGCTCATTCCTTTATTTCAATCATTTTGCATGGAGGGTTGAGCTCCAGTTGCCCTTGGCTAATTGGGCCAGGACATGGTTTCTCTTAAGGGGATCCTAGAACTTCCTTAGGGCCAGCATCACTATCCTGAGCTCTGCAGCAGGGGCTCTGACCATCACAGTGATCAGGCCTGTGGGCTGGATGACCCACCTCTGACCTACGGGCTGTACGTTGGCACCTCTGCTCTCGGTGGACTATTGGTATTTTGTGCTCAATGGATAAGAGCCCTCTTCTTTGGGTGGCATGTTCTCTTGCTCGTATAGTAAGCTGCCTACTGAACAGGGTCCTTTTTGTCCTTAGGCTTGTCTTCTGTTCAGATGTGCTGTGTCATTTCTCTGTGTTCCTCCTTTTTAGGGGAGGCACATCCTAATATGTCTGTTTGACTCTGAGCCGCAGCAGTTTGTGGTGGGGGGGGGGGGGGGG